GGTCCCTCCCCTCCTGGCTCCATCCCTAGTTTGGTTGCACTTCAAGTGTTTTATCCCCTTTTCGGCCCTTCCCTGCTTTCCCCGGGGCGGCTGCAGCGTCCGTTGTTTTTCTCCCCACCCCGACGGACACCTGTGGCAGGGGGGGGAAGGAGAGCGGGGGGGGCCGGGGCGAGGTTGGCATCTCCTCGTTGACCTTCCCGTGTTGGAAAGGGAATGGGGTGTTTTGGGTACTGGGCAGAGAGAATTACTTCCTCCTGCTTGTTCCCGTTTTAAGGTGGGTCGGTAAAGCTCTAGTAGTTTTTGCGTTGTCTGACACCGGCTGACACCTGGAGCAGTGGTGGTGACACATCATGTGCCAGGCGGAATCCAAGTGGTTGAAGGATGCCCCTGGGAGATCTTGATAGGCACCGAAGGCCTCAAACTTTTGTAGGCGTGAAAAGCGAAGACGTTAGAATTGTTTCTGAAAACTGCTTCAAAGAAACTTGGTTCCAGCTTCCAAACGGCTGAAAAAAAACTCATCCGTGCTCACACCTGGATGGTGAGGACAGCAGGGCAGAAACGCTTCGCCTGCCATCCGGTTTGGAGTTGGTGACTATGATCTACTAGGAATGGAAAGTCACGAAAGAGACTCGGCAGTTGTCTGTTTTTATGTGGTGGCCTAAAGTCCCAGAGGATGACCTAGCACTTAAGAATCAAACTGGGCCAAGTTAAAGGCCAAGTTGACTTGAAAGAACCCTAACAGTGGGACCAGTTCGGAAGCAAAGCAAGTCCCAAACTGAGTGTATCTGGTCAAAGATATATATTCTTTTTAAAAGACGTTGTGTTACTGGAGCCAGGCCTGGATCTTTTAGCATCCAACTGAGCTGGAAGCAGCTCATAGGTTTTTTGGTTTTGGTTTTTTTTTTTATTCATGTTTGTACAATCTTCTGGATATTTTTTTTCAAGAAGGAGTAAAAGGGAGTGTTGGAAACTAACAAACAGGATTAAAACCCTGAGCGCTTAAGGAAAACAGGTTAAGGAACTTAATCCAGGATGGATATGCAGGAGCCACAGCAGCTGGGTATGTTTGCAGAAAGCGAGCTGATGTCTGTGGGGATGGACACTTTTATCCATCGCATTGACTCTACGGAGGTCATCTACCAGCCGCGACGGAAAAGGGCCAAGCTCATTGGCAAATACCTGATGGGAGACTTACTTGGTGAAGGGTCTTACGGCAAAGTCAAGGAGATGTTGGACTCTGAAACCCTCTGTAGGAGAGCTGTGAAAATATTGAAGAAGAAGAAGCTACGCAGAATTCCCAATGGGGAGGCAAATGTGAAAAAGTGAGTAAATATTTCCGGTAGCTGGGAACTGAGGGGTTCAACTTTGTCATTATTTTCCAGCTGAAGGTCTGTATCATTTTAACCAACAACTTGGCTTTCTGCTATGGAGGTGCTTCCTAAACCGTAGGTAGTCAGGAATCTCTTTACCATTGAACTACAGCCAGCGCTCTTGTGGAGGGTGCTTCTTCCAAATGCTGCCCAAAGGTTGGGAGCAGGGGAGGGAGCTGGTTCTCGAGGGCGAGGGAGGCAGGTCTGTCTGAACAGACAGCCCGTAACACACGCTGCTGTTTTAATAGTATTGCTTAAAGAGTAAAATAGTATTTCTTAAGAAATTCCTCTTTAAGTTTTCATGTTGAAGAGGTAAACTGTGGTGCTGTCGGCTAGGAGAGGTGAGAGGTGGTGCACCTGAGAGTGCAGAAATACACTGTGCCGTTGTGGTCTGCGTTATTTGTGTTCCCATCTAGGGGCGCGTGGGTCTGAGCTCTTTGGGATGGTAATTATTGCTCCCACCCGAGTAGTAGGTGCCTGGAACGTCATCCAATGTATTATGCACCCAATGGGCATAGGAAGTCTTGGGGTTTATTCTTGTTTTCACTTCTGACTAATGAGTTTGGGAAGTAATTCAAGGCTCTCTTCAGTTGATTTCTGCAGCTGTAAAATGGGGACAAGGGTTCTCAACTTTTTTTTTTCCCCCCAGTGACTCAAGATCTGTGCTTGGAAGCTTTCGAGGTGCCAGTTACATACTGATTAGTCAGGGCACAAGTAACTAATTAAAATTAACTGTGGGAGAAGCCTGGTGTAGGACTGGGTGTATGAAACTTTCCCTTTTCTTGGGGCTGCGCTCTGCTTGCGGGGACCTCGCAGCCAGCTGTGTTTTCCACAGCAAGCTGTTTGTCACAACCCTGTGAGATAGTTGTTTATCTGCTGTGAAGGGGAGCCTTCTGCAGCCAAAACAAACTATTTGCAAGGGTTTATCTCGTAGTGGGAGGAAAAACTTGTGAGATGTTTAGAAGACACTTGTATTGCGTTTTTAGCTGTGGCGTGCTGAGTGTAGAGCCCTGACCTAGCAGGGTCTTGTTTCTGTTTCTCGGTTTGGTTTGAGTTTCCGAGCTCAGCTGCGAGATATTTCACATCCTGTACTTGGGGCTTCTGTTAGTGAGCTGTTTAAGTTTGCCTTCTAACCTTCAGTGACAGACTTAGCTACACGCGATAGTCACAAACCCTAATGCCGGGACCTCCCTTTCTCTCCTTCGCTGGCTCAAGTTCAGAATCGGAGTAAACTGTTGGTTAATATGTAATAAAATGTTTCTTGTTTTTCTGCTAAAGGCATGAGTGCTCCTTTCCACCCTTGCCCCCTCCTTGACTTATATTAAGAGCTTCTACTGAAGAGGGGGAGATTGTTCCCACCTTAGTGAAAATTTAATTTTAAATTTCCCCCCCCTTAGTGAAAAAGGACTTGCCAAATAACAGAAGAGTTTCCTGATATCAGAGCCGTGGTAATGGTCCTGTGTCCTGAAGTGAACTCTGCAGAAGTTTTATTCATGCACAGAGCCTGTCTGTGAATGTCTTGTTTGGTTTCATTAAGGTTAGTTATTAAAGCAGACTAGCCAAGCACTGCTCTGTTTTGCTGTGGATGTTTTTCTGGCTCAGCTGCACCTGCTTCAAAACACTGAGGCAGATTTTAGATGTTGTCTTGTAACAAGAGTTTACTTTAGTTCAAGTTCCTATTTTTGTCACCTTGTCCTTTTCCCTTTGTCCACTTATTCGTTTGCTTTACCTGCTTCCTCAGAGGTGAATTTTTTTAAGGCAAAATGTCGTATTTTTGTGGTACCCATGGAAATCTGACCTTATCAAAACCCTTTGGCACTACTGCAACAGGCAGCGAAAGCTGTCTCTGCTCTGAATAAACCTGTTGTGGTGAGATACGTCATCAAACCTGTATGGTTTGACTGGTCAGTATGGATGGGGGGAGCAAACCATTGCTTGGCCAGACTCCATTAAAATTTCACTTTCTATGACTGCATTTGAGCAGCTTTGCTGAGTGGTTTATACCCGGCAAACTACTCACGTGCAATAGAACAGCAGAAAATCAGATTGTGGACTGAATCGCACCAATAGGTTCTACTTTCTTTCTTGAAAGCTACTAAGTGCAGTAATAAGTAAATATGTAATTCCTGTGTTACAGTGAGGCCTGCTTCCAGTCCCGTTTGCGTCCTTATCTATACAAGGATGTCTGCAGCTCAGTACGTGTGAGAGATGAGTGTGATTAGTTGTCTAATCTTTGTAAACATCCCGACTTGAGTTGCTGCCCTTTGAGATTAAAAATCTCTTCATCTGCCACCAGAACTAGACCACCGCTTGGTGCTCCCTCCCCCTGCCAGTGCTCCCAGTGGTATGGGCAAGTAGAAGGCTCTTCCAAAGCATTTGCATTCATGGTAAATGAAATGGTCAGGAGTGAGAGTCTTCTGACTCCCTAATGAATGGTTTTCTTTGCTGTAGAATCACTGCATAATGTCTTAACTATTAGTCTGCTTTCTGGGGGTTAATTTCTACATATAGTGCTGCAAACGTGTTGAAAGTGCACTGGCAGAGAGTCTGAGCAATTAGGCGTGTGTTCAAGCTTGGTTTAAAAGTGCTTATCTCTTGGAAGTGACACCATTTGCTATTTCAGTCTCAAAATACCTTGTGGTACAGTTTTCTCTTAACTGCAAAGATGGGGCCTGTTCCTACTAACGTGATCTCCAGCGTTTCTTACTATACAGGAAAAAGCTACATATGCGACTTGGTTTGTTTGACAGAGATGTAATTGAATTATTATAATGGGCTTGTGCCTCTGCCATTATCACAGGATGCCTCGGTACTGCTGCTGCTGTGGTGAAGATGAAACTTGCATTGATAGTGTGTCATCAGAGAAATTCCCTAGAAAACAGTTCCTAGACTGTTGGCCCTTGGGTAATTACATGAGCAAGTAATGTAGAGGGAGTAATGACAGCAAGGGAGAGCATAACAGGGATGAGCCGCAGAGGATCGTACAGGTCTGTGCCGTGCTTTGGGACCCTGGATACGTGGGGCTGGTGTTACAACTCGGGGAGCTCTAACTGTTAATGCCATTTTTGTGTTCCTCCTTGCCAGTCTTCGAGACTGCAGCCCTGTCCTGCATGCGTGGGCTCGTTGCCCCAGCCCTGTCTCTTGGTGCAGTAACAGAGTTCTGGGGGCCTAGAAATTATGACTGAAATATGTTTGAGACTTATTATATAAAACTGAATGTTTCTTCTCTACCCCAAAATACTCCAGTTCTGCCCCTGAAAAATGAGCCCTTAAGGGCCTGGTGAGGGTGTTGAGGGTTTAAACTCATCAGACACACATTTCCCTAAATCAGTCTAGGGAATCCTTGTTTTCTCTTCAGTCACTTTAGAGAAAGGTTGGGTGGCTTAGTCAACCAGACAGTACTATGGCTAATTACTGCTTCCATTTAATACAAAAAATGAGTTTAGTAGGGTTGCCAAAAAGATGAAAAAAAATTTGGAAGACTATTTGTCTCTAGCAGCACAAGTTTTATTAAACTGTGTGCTAATAGCCTCACATTTTAATTAAGTGTTTGGGACTTTCTGTGCATATCCCAAGTGTCTTGTACTGTACTTACCACACTCAGTGATTACTTAGATTTGAATATATGCTCATTAGAATTCCTCAGAGGTTTAAAATGTGTAGTAGGCCTGTACTTTGACAATTTGCTCCTTGGGTCTGCAAATCAAGAGTCTTGCACCTCAAAACACGGACAGTTCTGCTGAAGGAAGGACTTGTTGCAAGCTGCAGAGGCGTGTGCTTTAGACGAAGATGGGCTAAAGCTGACTCATCTGATTTCCTGTCCCTCACTCCCAACCGAAAAGGTCTGCCGTACGTAACCGGGTGGTTCTGTTACTTTCTTTGCTAAGCTGGATATCTGCTTGGGTTCAGTGGTGCAATGTTGGAAACGGTAATCCCTAGAAGAGCGCAGGTAGCTGCGCTGTGGTGGATATAGGGCTTGTAACGTCAGATGTCCCTGCTAGGAGTGTGATGTGGAGGAAGGCCTGGAACTAGTCAAGAGAAAAAGTAACGCTGCGATCTTCCCCTCCTGTGGCAGCCCCTTGGGCTCACACGCACAATTCTGGAGCAGGGGCCTGCCTGCGAGGGCTGGCCTGCCTGTTGCTGTGAGAGGCAACAGCTTCCGCAAGGTGGGAGCTGTCAGGGTTCAGATTGCTGTGTTTCATGGCACAGGGTATGTTGTGATCCACACCTGCAGCGTTTAACGTCTTGGGGGCTTCTGGCGCACGTAAAGAAAGAAGTGTGGTGACCACAGTGGATGTTTCTGTATCTTGACATGTTGTGGCCCTAGGGGAGGGAGAGGCAGTGGGAACGTGGTGGAGATGCTATAATGCTCGCAACGTTATTTTGGATAATGCCTGGAGAAGAACCGTTTGGATACTAAAACCTGAAAGGTGCAGGTCAGCACTGGATTCATCAACACATAAAGATGTCAGCTCCTCCCCGTGTCAGATGTACATTCAGATGTGTAAAGCTTAGTTTGAAGAAGGAAATAGTGAAGGGCTCTGCTCAGTCTCTTATCTGAAATATCACTGGTGCGAGCGAAGAGGTGCAGCTTCTCATGTGGATGAAAATGACAAGTTGCATCCTTGCAAGTGGAGGGCTATTTTTTTGGTGAAATAAGCAGGAAAAAGCTGTTCACAAGCTAAACCTTAAATAAGTTAATCTGCTTTGTGGCGTATCGGGGATACTAACTTGTAATTAAAATTTGCTTTGGCTATACGGGATTACAAAATCCATCTAAATAAATACATAGTGTAGTTGTTCAGTTGCGTAAAGACCAAATGAATGATTCTTGAGTCCTTTGTAGCAATTAGCAAGAATGGTGTTAGTGGATTTATAGTACGTGCCAGAACTGGCATATGGAGCTGTTCTCTGTGCACGTCTCCCAGCCCTTCGCTGTGGCACCAGCTCTG